CTCATTTGAATAATAAATGAATAAATTATATATATGTATATATATATATATATATATATATATATATATATATATATATATATATATATATATATATATATATAGGCCTATATATATATATATATATATTTATATATATATATATATATATATATATATATATATATATATATATATATATATATATATATATATATATTTTTTTTTTTTTTTTTTTTTTTTTTCCTCACCTTATTTGTACTTGCAAAGACATTACACACGTGAGAGATATGAAGTTGATGTACCACATCACGAGATGTTTCATCAACCACTGGATAAAAAGACTAAATATGAGCGAGTACAAGATGCCTACGCTATATGTCCAAGAAATGCCACCACGGCCCAAGTCAGAAATAGGTCAACTCGACATTGAGTATACAATTCTATACCCTTTGATGTTCATCGGCATTCTGAGTTTTACAGCCTCAGCCATCGTTCAAGAGCGTGAGTCGAAGGCTAAGGTAAGTCAGGGGTGTGGTAGCTAGGGTAGTTACTGTACAGGGATGGGGGAGCTAGGGTAGTTACCGTGCAGGGGTGGGGGAGCTAGGGTAGTTACTGTACAGGGATGGGGGAGCTAGGGTAGCTACTGTACAGGGGTGGGGGAGCTAGGGCAGTTACCGTACAGGGGTGGGGACCTAGGTCACCGTACAGGGGTGGGGGCCAAGGTCACCGTGTAGGGATGGGGGCCAAGGTCACCGTGCAGGGGTGGGGGTCTAGGTCACCGTGCAGGGGTGGGGACCTAGGTCACCGTGCAGGGGTGGGGGTCTAGGTCACCGTGCAGGGGTGGGGACCTAGGTCACCGTGCAGGAGCCTAAGAGACGTCAGACGTTAATCCCCTAATATAAATGTGAGCTTTATAACACATGGACATGACATCTTTATAACACATGGACATGACATCATTATAACACATGGACATGATAGCTTTATAACACATGGACATGACATCATTATAACACATGGACATGACATCATTATAACACATGGACATGACATCTTTATAACACATGGACGTGATATCTTTATAACAAGCGTATGAAGTCATGGTATCCGCCTGTCCACAGGAGTCCATGAAACTGATGGGTCTCAACGAGTCGGTGTACTGGCTCTCCTGGTGCATCTCGTCCTTCTTGTCCGGTCTCATCGTCTGCATATGCGCAATGCTTGTCATGACGCGTCGGTACCCGAAGGGATACGTTTGGTCGTCTCCGGCGTCCATCGTCCTGACGCTAGAGCTGCTCTTTCTACTGGACACCATCACCGCCGCCTTCCTCTTGTCGTGTCTCATCAACAAAGGTTGGCCTTCGTTGTCTTTCGTCGTCTTTTATCATCATCGGTTGAACTTTCATCGTCTATTATCATAATCGGTTGAACTTTATTTCCTGTTGACCTGTTTCATACTGCCTATATTTTGTTGAAACGTTCATCCACATACAACAAAATAAAAAACAACACAATATAACAACACAATCAAACACAAGAAAGTAAAACACAACAAAGTAAAACAGCACAATCAAACAAAACAAAGTAAAAGACAAGACAATTAAAGGCATGATAACATAACACAACTTAACCAACAACTATGCATGACCACGAATTTATATTTACTGTTACGTTTGGCTTGGCCTTGCAGGTAGAAACGCCTCAATCATAGCCATCATCCTGTACCTTATCCTAGAAAATAGCGCCTCCCCTCTGATAGCGTGGGTCGTGGACCAAAGGCTGCTGCTCTATCTTGTGGGGACGGTCACCTACGGTCTCGGCTTCTTCCTGGCTATCGACGTGGTCTTTCAGAAGGAGGTCAAAGGTCAGCTCACAGCAAGCTTGCAATAAGCTAGTGTCATCGCTATATTGCTGAAGTGTACAGATGTAGTTGATGCTGTATTAGTTAGGGTCATAAGCTGTTACATTATCATCATCACCATCATTCCCGTGGAGCATAGGGAAGCTACCAAATTTCTCCATTGTTCTGGGGTCCGGTCGATTCCTATAATTTGGGCCCGCTTCTGATTTTTTCCAATTTTGTTTTGGCCTACCTACTTTCTTCTTTCCTTGGAGATTCCAATATATTTAACGTTGCTGTATTTTGTAAAGCGTAGCTCCACCTCCACCAAATGTCCTCCGCAGGTTACACGTTAGACTGGGACAACATACACCGCAACTACCAGCAGCCGAGCCAAACCTTCCAGGACGGCCTGGTGCTGATAGCGCTAAACATCCTCTTCAACCTCTTCTGCTGCTGGTACGTCACGAACATCTGCCCCGGGGAGTACGGCATACGGAGACCGTTTTATTTTTTCTTAATGGTAACTTCATTCTCTTTTCTACCGTTTCAAGCCGTTAGTTTATATGAATGTTGTTACATTTATGTTTTTTTTTTATTTTATACAATGCATTTTGACTTTATCTTAATTGAATTCTCGTTAGTTGGAGTGCCAAAAGCAATGGATTTTATGTGTAAACAAAAAATGTTCTCTAATCGAGAAAAAAGCCGCATGCAGCAGCTGAAAGCTTTTGTCGCCATTTGTACTTCTAAAATATAAAAACTTTTCACTGGGCTTGAAACAGCGAATGTATTAAACTTTACACATTTTCTAACAGTTTTCTTATTGGTTCCCTTCTTCGAAAAACGACGATGACCCTCCGGAAATTTCTCCGGATAATCCGGAATTTTTCGAGACCCCGCCTGCAGAACTGAACCCAGGTATTAAAGTCCGAAACCTTGTCAAGGTAAGGCTCACTCTGGGACCTTTTCAGTACTAGAACAGGGGAAGTAGAGTGCTGGGGAAACTACGCGAACAGGGGAGTACACTGCTGGGGAAACTACGCGAACAGGGGAGTACACTGCTGGGGAAACTACACAAACAGGGGAGTACACTGCTGGGGAAACTACGCGAACAGGGGAGTACACTGCTGGGGAAACTACGCGAACAGGGGAGTACACTGCTGGGGAAACTACGCGAACAGGGGAGTACACTGCTGGGGAAACTACGCGAACAGGGGAGTACCCTGCTGGGGAAACTACACAAACAGGGGAGTACCCTGCTGGGGAAACTACACGAACAGGGGAGTACACTGCTGGGGAAACTACGCGAACAGGGGAGTACACTGCTGGGGAAACTACACAAACAGGGGAGTACACTGCTGGGGAAACTACGCGAACAGGGGAGTACCCTGCTGGGGAAACTACACGAACAGGGGAGTACACTGCTGGGGAAACTACGCGAACAGGGGAGTACACTGCTGGGGAAACTACACAAACAGGGGAGTACACTGCTGGGGAAACAAACTGAAAGATATTGGCCACAGAGATTTGGGTTACGGATAATTTGTAGAAGATTCGCCGATAAAATATCAGCAGTTACATTCCGGCACAACCCCCTCTCACCCATTTATATATCTTTATTCACGTTGGCGAAAAAATCGACAGTCAGAATCCCTCAACCTATTAAGGTCGGCGCTGGGGGGGGGGGGGGGGGCTCCCCACCCGCCCTCCCCTGGTTACGCCTTTGGCCAAGTCCACGCCAGACCTGGAGAACAATCCATCTCCCCCACCCCCAGAAATGGTACAGGCTTAATACATCTCCCCCACCCCCAGAGATGGTACAGGCTTAATACATCTCCCCCACCCCCAGAGATGGTACAGGCTTTGTACACCCCCCCCCCCCCCTCCCATGTGCTGGGACCGTGTAAATACATCTGGTGCATATTTTTTTACCGAGGGGTAATGGACAATGACTGAGGGTAAAGTAATTGGTAGGCGGTAATATCCTAGACCAACCATTGCGGCTATGGTATGTCAAGAGTGACGTGGTAGGCGGTAATATCCTAGACCAACCATAGCTGGTGACGTATGTCAAGAGTGAAAAAGTTCCCAATAACCCCGAGCAATCCTACAGATGTTTGGCAAACATGTCGCAGTGGCTGGCACAAATCTGGACCTTTACGAGGGGCAGATCACCGCTTTGTTGGGGCACAACGGGGCAGGGAAGACAACTACCATCAACATGATCACAGGTCGGTTGATCCTAATTAAGTTGCTTCCATTTTAAATAATTAATAACCACATCTGTTACGTCTGGGTTTTATTCAATGCAGAAAACGATCACAGAAAATGTGATCGCACTCGACTTTGGGATAACAAAACCTAAACACCCCGGGGTTAACTCGCACACACCCCTCCCCTCGGTTCTGGACAATCCTAGCCTATACTTATCTAACCTACAACTGACCGGTAACAACACCATCACTTGATTTAATGGTTTTTTTTAAATGACCTTGACCTCACTAGGCTTTATACCTGCGACAAGCGGCACTGTGATCATTCAGGGACTTGACCTGGTCAAGAATACCGAGGCAGCACGCAAATGTATCGGTCTCTGCCCGCAACACGATGTACTCTTCCAGAAACTCACATGTAGGGAACATCTGCTATTCGTTCTCAAGGTAAATCTTCATGTTATAGGCGCTAATCTACACCAACAGCTTCTCTATTTTATAATGCAGATAATTTATACCCAGGTTATGTTGAAATACAATTAGCAATAATAGGAATGTGGTTGATATCCTAACGTCACAAATATAATGTGTATGATGCTGTCGTCATTACCCGGCTATCAAGAAAATTATTACCTGGCATTCTACTTCCTCGTCGTTTTTAATTGTAATGTAGGCAGGGATTTCTCCCAACACAAATTAAGTCTTACGTGTCAACTTGTTATAGTGCCGTGTACCAGCTGAGACAGTTACACAAGGACAATGGAGTTGAAGACTTTGTGCCCGGAAACGGCTACCTTGTGCGCGGACAGATTATCGGAGAAGATAAATGTTGGTCATCAAATGGCACACTGGTTACCATGGTTACCGTTACCTTTCTAATAAAGTGTTCCCCCTTTGGTCCCTGTAGCTTAAAGGACAGATGACTCGCCACAATGAGAACGAAATCGATGAACTGCTGGACACCATCAAACTATGGGACAAAAGGAAGTCCTATCCCACGCAGATATCTGGTGGACAGAAGAGGAAGCTGTCGTTAGCTTGTGCTTTTATTGGGGGTACTAAGGTAAGGCCACAGGTAACAGAGGAAGCTGTCATTAGCTTGTGCTTTTATTGGGGGTACTAAGGTAAGTTCACAGGTAACTATAGACCATCTCCACTGTATTCTACACAAACATTAGGGTACTAAGGTAAGGCTATATGTAACTATAGACCATCTCCACTGTATTCTACACAAACATTAGGGTACTAAGGTAAGGCCACACGTAACTATAGACCATCTCCACTGTATTCTACACAAACATTAGGGTACTAAGTTACCACAGGTAACTATAGACCATCTCCACTGTATTCTACACAACCATTAGGGTACTAAGGTAAGGCCACACGTAACTATAGACCATCTCCACTGTATTCTACACAAACATTAGGGTACTAAGGTAAGGCCACACGTAACTATAGACCATCTCCACTGTATTCTACACAAACATTAGACAAACATTAGGGTACTAAGTTACCACATGTAACTATAGACCATCTCCACTGTATTCTACACAAACATTAGGGTACTAAGGTAAGGCCACACGTAACTATATAGCATTTCCACTGTATTCTACACAAACATTAGGGTACTAAGTTACCACATGTAACTATAGACCATCTCCACTGTATTCTACACAACCATTAGGGTACTAAGGTAAGGCCACATGTAATTATAGACCATCTCCACTGTATTCTACACAAACATTAGGGTACTAAGTTACCACATGTAACTATAGACCATCTCCACTGTATTCTACACAAACATTAGGGTACTAAGCTACCACATGTAACTATAGACCATCTCCACTGTATTCTACACAAACATTAGGGTACTAAGTTACCATATGTAACTATAGACCATCTCCACTGTATTCTACACAAACATTAGGGTACTAAGGTAAGGCCACATGTAATTATAGACCATCTCCACTGTATTCTACACAAACATTAGGGTACTAAGTTACCACATGTAACTATAGACCATCTCCACTGTATTCTACACAAACATTAGGGTACTAAGTTACCACATGTAGCTATAGACCATTTTCACTATATTCTACACAACCATTAGGGTACTAAGTTACCACATGTAACTATAGACCATCTCCACTGTATTCTACACAAACATTAGGGTACTAAGTTACCACATGTAACTATAGACCATCTCCACTGTATTCTACACAAACATTAGGGTACTAAGGTAAGGCCATATGTAGCTATAGACCATTTTCACTATATTCTACACAACCATTAAGAGATGCCTGAAAGAAAGTCGGAATGTATGTACTTTTGTTCGTTGTATTCAATTTTGTCACATGCTTGCTAGGCTATTCAAAATTTCCAGAAGCTCAATGCCAATTATAAAATTAATAATATGTTATAAAAATTGCTATAAAAATATTATTAAGTTGTTTTAATGCATATAATATAAAGTATGCGTCGAAAGATAGAAAAAAAATATCCACAGGTCATATTTTTGGACGAGCCATCGACCGGCCTTGACACCGCCGCCAGACAGGAAATGTGGGCTTTCCTAAAGACAATGAGAGAAGGTCGAACCATACTTTTAACGACCCATTACATGGACGAGGCAGATGTACTGGGCGACAGAATCGCCATCATGGCGGAGGGGAGAGTTAAATGCTGCGGCACACCCATGTTTTTAAAGAGGGTTTATGGTGAGTAAATTAGATGGTTCAGTGTTGTAGCACACACATGTTTCTGAAGAGAGTTTATGGTGAGTAAATTAGATGGTTCAGTGTTGTAGCACACCCATGTTTTTAAATAGAGTTTATGATGAGTAAATTAGATGATTCAGTGTTGTAGCACACCCATGTTTTTAAAGAGGGTTTATGATGAGTAAATTAGTTGTAGCACACCCAAAACTTTTAAAGAGATATTAAAACGTTGGTAAGTCTCGATGAAGACATTAACGTACTTTATTTCCAAAGTTTAAAGGATAAAGTGAAAATTGTTTCTTAACTTTACTTGCTCGTATACAGTGTCTAAATGGAAGTTTTGTAATCGTGCAGAATAATTCTTTGAGATTCTGACAGTTTTCGCCACTCTCCACCTTTCTTTATTTTAAACATGATATAATGGATGTATTGTAATTGTACAGAAAGCTAATTCAAGGTTTTGACATATTTTAACCACTAAAAAGAATTCCGAAGCCACAAAATCTTCCTTCTGCTATTGTATCTGTCTGTAGGTGTGTATGCTATCACGATACGTTGAATATCGTTTAATTAGGTAGACTAAATTTCATTTACAAGTAAAAGGTCGGATAATTTAATTACTTTCATTTTTTGTGATCTCCCATAAGCGGAAAGGGGTTTGTTTATTTTATGTTTCTGAAATAACGATAGCTTGAGTACCGTTTCAGTTAGGGATACAGAGTTTCATACATAACCTATTCTTTCG